GAAGGATAGAGTTTGGTTCACTTAGGCCTAGTGCAGGAAGGCTTCATTGACACTCAGTGGCCTCCCGAGTTACCTAGGGTGAGGCCTAGCGACGTCAACATTAGCGCAAGAGACAAGAATGATCCGGGGTTCGCAGGGACACACCCCACTGATTCGAAGGCCACAGGGCGAGTAGCCTCCCCGCCCCCAGCTCTAGCAGAGGGTCCAAGACCTCCGGGCAGCACAGCACCACTGCTAGGATGTTCTGGCCTGTGCATTTCCCCCAGAGAGACCCTGAGCTGCCCAGAGCAGCAGACGCTGTAGGCTGGTGCGGCCTGAATACAAGAAGGATGTTGGTAAATTTGGGAGGGGTCAGAGAGGAGCCACGAGAACAATGAACAGATCAGGCTTTCTCTACACTGGGGACTTGGCAGAGCCATGGGGGGGGGGCAGTAACCCCCCCATGGAGCTCAGGGTACGTCCACTCCCCCAGCCAGGGCGCTTGGTGGGATCCCTGCTGCGCCCCCCCCCCCCCTCGGGCAGCCGGTGCACTTGGCCCAGGGGGGGCCTGGCCTGTGCGGGGAGGGGGCACCCTAGAAGCCAAGCTGGGGACACAACACCTGGGAGGGGCCATGTCTGGGCGGGGGGTTCCAGGGCAGGGGGCGGGGCCATGGGGCTTATCCGGCGGGGACCTGTTTAGGGCGGGGCCCGGGGTCCCCCAGGGCCCCGCCTGCCCAGGGAGCGGGGGCCAAACTCATCTCGGAGCCCCGCCCCCACGGGAGCCCCGCCCCTAGCGGCGCGGCCGGTTTCCCAGGAGACGCCAAGCTCCCTCGCTACGTCAGTTCCGCCAGACCCTTCTGCTTCCGGGTTACGGCGTTGGCGCTTTTTCCATCCCGGGAGGCACTGCCGCTTGCCGGGAGCTGAACGTGACCTCTGACCTCCTTAGCCCTGACCCCTGACCCCGTCATCCCCTGGCGTTGGCAGCCCGGGAGTGAGGGGCCCCGGCAGAGCGGGGGCTGCCCCAGGTCCTGGCAGGTTCGTCAGCGCCCTAGAAACCTGCGTCTGCTCCCCATATATTGGGGGGGCCGCCCGAGGAGCGGGCACGTGTCACCCCAGGGGCTGGGTTGGGGGGGCTGGAATTTGGGGGGCAGCATGTGAGGGACTGGAGTTTGGGTGGGCACATGTCACCCTGGGTGGTGGGTTGCGGGGGATGGAGTTTGGGGCGGGGTATGTGTAACCCCAAAGGTTGGGGAGCAGGGGATGGTGAATTTGCGATGAGTATGTGTCACCCTAGAAAGTGGGGGATGGTGGAAGGGGGGGGGGAGGGAGGTGGACATGTCACTCCAGGTTTGAAGAATGGCGGATGTCAGGGGGCATGCATGTCACTCCAGCGGCTGGGAAGCAGGGGATGGGAGGGGCGGGGTATGTGTCATCCTAGGAGCTGGGGAGTGGGTTTGGGGGTTCAGGGGCAGGGAGTGAGTGAAGCTGTTCATAACAGGAGCTTGTCATCTTCCTAGGTGGAGAGTTGTTGGCCCCGCCAGGAGCCCCTCGATTGCCAGCCATGTTCTCGGAGCAGGCAGCTCGCACCGCCCAGGGCCTGCTGGCGCCACCCTCAGCAGAGGCCTCCACGTTTGCCAGAGTGCCCGTCTCCACATATACTAACTGCTCCCAGCACTTCAGGCTCGGGGAGCGCAGCTTTAATCGCCAATATGCCCACATCTACGCCACTCGCCTTATTCAGATGAGACCCCTGTTGCTGGAGAGAGCCCGGCAGAAATGGGGTAAGTTCGTTTCCACAAAATACTTTTGTCTGGTTAACGAGGTGACGGTAACATCCCAGGTGAGGAGAAAATTCCCAGAATGGTGTCTAGCTGTCTGTCCTTAGTGTATGCGCAACATGCCTCAGGTGGCACGTGGCCAGGATTCATCACTGAATTTGGTCTGCTGGTTGAATCATTAGCTTCCCTGGCTTGGGCCGGGTACTGCTGGGGAGTGTGATGTGAATGTCGATCCATGCCCCTCACTGCCTGTCCTGAAACCTGCCTTTGGACAAGAGCTGAAACCAACTGAGGGTGAATCCCAGTGTCATACTTCACTTGCCAGGCAGTGGGGGAAACTGTTGTTTGCTGGGAAGCCGTGTGCTGTCTCTCTGTTTTTTGAAGGATATAGAGAGCTGTTTCTAAGCAAAACAAAATTCCAAGCAACTGAACCATGAGGAAGTTTTGGCATGTCCTAGAAAACGCTTTGTCTGCCCTGAATTCCAGCCCTGCTCCTGTCAGGTTAGGGACTCGCTCCAAAGGCTTAGGGTGTCTAGCACATCAGCTCAGTGGGAAAACATCTACCATTGCCAAGCAGTGACTCTGGACTGGAAAAGCTTTCACTGGGCTCACCAAAAAGGAGGCATTTGTTCCTGATACAAAAGTTACATTCAGGTAGCATTAAGAGTCTGAGATGGGCACTCGGTAGCCAGGAAAGATTGTTATGGAGTATGTCTCCAGCAGAGTGCAGGGTGTGTGAGCAAGAGATCCCGTGGGGTTGGTGACTGCAGGTTTAAGTGGTCATTTCCTTGCTCCTGTGGGCTGCATTGCTGTTTACTGATGGAATTACTGTATCTGAATTAGTTTCCTTTCAAACATGTAACTGCTGTAGAGTGTCGTAGTTCAGCCCTAAAATGATGTGCAATAGCATAGCTGGCAGGCACCCTCCTCATTTCACTGTATGGTGCAAGTGCCTGCAGATGCTAGAACTCACTGGCTAAAGATAAATAACTGGCTCCTTTTTGGAAGATACTGGCCAATGTGTGACTCCCCCATAACTAGGAGAACATGACAAATGGTTGTTATAGAATTTCATGCCATCTGGCCAGGTCAGCTTCTTGGTTTGCTTTTGAATTCCTTCTGTAGGGGGTTTTAAATCTTTTTTACTGGGCACTGTGCTGCTATACAAGCCCCCTCCCAGAGCTGTGCCCACCTTTGAGGGTGTTGCACTGTTGCTGCTATACAAGCCCCCTCCCAGAGCTGTGCCCACCTTTGAGGGTGTTGCACTGTTGCCCGCTCTCTCAATGTTATTGTGTGCCTTGCGGTATTTAGTGTTTTCCTTGAAGCCTCAGCTCCTGGAGGCAGGTGATTATGGGAGAATCCCAGCTTTCATTAAAAAAAAAATGGTTGCAGAGAAAAGCTTGAAACGTGACTGCTAAAAGCTCCAAACAAAGGGTCAAGGAAACAGCCCAGATTAATTGTTTTTTAAAAAGTCTCATGATTTTGAGGTGGGAGGGCTCGTTCATGATTTTTGCTCTCTTGGAATTGGTGATGCTGGATTATTTGCTACGTGGTCATCTAAATCCTTAAATAACCCAAGGCATCTGGCTTGTGATACTGGTAGACAGGGGGAGATGATGTTTGCTAGATGTTAAAGGTCATGTTCAGAAGACAAAGGAATAGCCGGGGAATTGATACAAAGTGCTTCAGTGTCCTGTAATGGTGTTGAAATTGCTGGCTCTGGGGTATGATGATAGAGTGGAGTGTTTTATTGCTAGGCTGCTGATTGTCTGAATCCAGCCCAGGCATGAGCTGTTTCGATCAGGTAGCTTTTCATTGGCCTGGGTTAAGTGAGTTGATTATCTCAGGATGCTCACTAGTGGGCAAGTGTCTCCATCAGAGCCCCCCACAGTGGTCATTCATGGAGGCCCCTGGTTGGCAGCCAGGTTGAGGGTGGAGGATGAAATCTCCTGTTATCCCCAATGGCTGGAGATGGGACACTAGATGGGGAGGGCTCTGAGATACTACAGAGAATTCTTTCCCAGGTGTCTGGCTGGTGGGTCCTGCCCACATGCTCAGGGTTGAACTGATCGCCAGATTTGGGGCTGGGAAGGAATTTTCCCCCAGGTCAGATTGTCAGAGTTGGTGGCGGGGGTTGCCTTCCTCTGCAGCATGGGGTACAGGTCACTTGCAGGTTTAAACTAGTGGAAATGGTGGATTCTCTGTAACTTGAAATCATGATTTGAGGACGTCAGTAACTCAGCCAGAGGTTAGGGGGCTTTTTCAAGAGTGGGTGGGTGAGGTTCTGTGAGCTCAGATGAGGTGGCTGAGTGGTGGAGGTGATAGACTGCTAATCCATTGTGCTCTGTACACGTGGGTTTGAATCCCATTCTCATCACATGCATTTGGGGGGGGGGAGGGGGATGGATAGCTCAGTGGTTTGAGCATTGGCTCAACCCAGGGTTGTGAGTTCAATCCCTCAGGTGGGCCATTTAGGGATTTGGGGCAAAAATCTGTCTGGGGATTAGCCCTGTTTTGAGCAGCAGGTTGGAGCAGATGATCTCCTGAGGTCCCTTCCAACCCTGATATTCTGTGATCACAAACTGGTCATACTAGATGATCATGATGGTCCCTTCTGACATTAAAGTCTATGAATCTGAGTTACCTCTGTGAAGTGGTGGGTCCCTCTAGGTGTGCTGGTCAGGGCCAGTTTGGGGTGGAAAGCCTGTCCTTCTGCGCTCTGTGCTGTACCTGTCCTGCATGGGGATAGACAGGGCTTGACTCTCCTGGGCTGCCTGTCCAGCCCCTGGCACTAGCAGTGCATTCAAACTCTCACATAAACAGCAGAAGTGGCATCTCCCAGCAAAGTGCAAACTAACACTGGGGAGCAGTGTCCTTCTATCCCTGTTAGTTAGAATTCTTGCTGGCCCTAGGGCTGTGGCTGCCCCAAGTCCCTCCCATACAAGAATAGCTGTCCTGGTATAAGCATCTTTATGCCAATGTAACTGCATCCACACTAGTGGAGGCTGTACCAGTGTAGCTATCCCGGGATCGTTAAAGTGCTGCAATGTGTGTGTGTTGGCAGGATTCGAGAGAGACTAACAAAAGCAAAGCTGCAGGCAGTCTCTCTAAACCACTTCCCCTCTCAACTAATCAGCTTCCACTTGGTTGATCTGTCCGGGCTCACAAGCGTTCTCATTTTGCAGTTGTCTGTACCCTCCTGTGGCAGGCACAGCCTTCATTCTAATGTGAAATGAGCCGAGAGAACCTTCCTAGCAGGAAAAGGACAAAGTCAGCCTCCTCCACGGGCTTTCTTCACTCATCAGGCACAACCACCTCCTCCTCCCTACATGCATGCACCCTTTGGTGGGTTCCCTTTGAAAACAAAAGGGTTAATGCCAAGAGTGGGGGAATCCCTGTGGGAGGCAGCAGCAGCCAGCCAGGATTAATAACTGGTAGCACCTAGGCCAGTCTTAGACCATGTGCTTGGCCCTGAATAAACATAGACTAAAAAGACCAGCTCTTGCCGTAAACAGCTGCAGTCTAAGACCAGACACAGCAGGTGATACAGTCAGACTGGGGAGTACAAGAAAACAGGGAGACAATCCAGTATAAAAGTAGGTTTAGGGGTTTCTCTCCCCGGGCTTATCTACACTTGGAAATGTACTGAAATAGCTAATCAGGAATAATTATTCTGGAATGACTCCCCACGTGGGCCCACTTATTCCAGAATGCGAGTGCCTTCCTTCAGTTTAGCTTCCAGAATGGATTCTCTTTTGGAAGAGGGTGAAGTTAAATGGGGGAAAAGGCACTTGTGTTCTGGATTGTGTGTCCCCCCCCACATGAGGAGTTATTCTGGAATAGCTCTTTTGTGTAAACAAGCCCATCCTTCATCTCCATGTTCGCCAGCCTCAGCCTTAATCGTCTCATGAAACCCTAACAGCTCCTAGCCTGAGAGTCTGGGTGCAGCTAGACTAACATTTAACCTTTCTATAGTGCCTTGTGTCTGAGACTCTTGCAGTGTGTTCCCCTATAGATGTCCTTGAGCCCCTCCCTGACTTCCTTGGGGAAGAACAGAGGCCCAATGCCAAGGGAAATGACCCAGAATCAGCCTCGGAGTCTAGATTAGCTGAGCCTCTCGTGGAATTTCTATTTCAACATTTGTCTTGGAGCCTGAGGAATTTTTTTTTTTTTTTAACTATCCTGTTTAGGCTGCGCAGGAACTAATGGAATTTAAGTGCAGCCACAGTGCTGAGCCCTGCTCTCGGGGAACAGCCAGAACTGTTGTGGCTGATCAGAGCTCGGCAGCCCAGGGAGGGCAAGGCCCCACGGGAAGGACTGACCGTCCTTGTCCTGCTTCCTGGAGTGGTCTTGTAAATCTCTGGCTTGAACGCTGTGTATGTGTACGTACTCAGCTAACATCACTGAAGAGCTCTAGAGCTGACATGCTGAGTCCTGAGCAGAGTTCTGGGCTGGATGCAGGAATCGCCGGGTGAGGTTCTCTGGCCTGGGCGATGCAGGAGGCCAGTCTAGATGATTGTAACGGCCTCTTCTGGCCTTGAAACCTATGAGTGTGTCCTGATTGATGACAGTTCTCCCTTTCCCCGGTGGGCAGGGGGGTGCTGGGTTTCCAGGCCGGCTGTGGCATGCCGGCTGGGGTGTCAGTCTACGGGGTGAAGCAGAGTTCTGGTTACTTGCACTGAAATAAGAAAACAAAGGTGTGACAGCGTACCCCATAAGGCTTTATGGGG